CACCACATCGCCCGCAACTGTCATCATTTTGGTCCCTTTCCTCAGCTTGGCCAGTTTGAGGAACAGCTCTTCGTGCCTTGTATTCATCTGACCAAGCCTCAAGCTGACATAAGGTAAACGGCTTACCAGACTCCATGAAAAGGTTCAAACAGGGACGATTGAGCTTAAAACCAGCATGACTTTTGAACTCAGAGATGGATAGCAGCTTGTCACAGCAATTGCAGAATATTCCATCCCTAGTTATTACGCCGGTTTTTACCACAGAATCGTCCTTCAAGTTCCGGTACTGGATCACTTCGTTTGGGGAAACAACCCCAGAATGAATTAACCAGGATAACACTGTTCTTGAGGCAAAGGTAGGCCATTTTGCTTCGATGAAGTGCTTTCCACCCTTGTTGAGGCTACGTAATAGCAACTTGCAACCGCTTTTCTGGCTCTTTCTTTTCCTCAGCGGTTTAGTTTTACCCCTTTTGTTGCCAGATCTGCATGTCTTGTTTCTAATTACAGCTGAGATTAAGAGATCGTCATCACTAAGACGACATGTCTTAAGTTTCTTTGACCCAACTTTGCGCTTACTTGTAATTGCTTTAAATTCAATATTTCCTCGCAGAGAGTTATCATTGTCAATATTCCCAGAGTTGAACTTCATGTGCACATTAAACTGACTCAATTGCTTAGAACTAGCCAATGTCTGCCTAAACTTCTTAAAATTGTTCTGTTCAGTATTGTCCTGAAACTCTGAACTACGGAAGGACTGCCCTTGATGACCTCTAGCTCTCCCCAGGTAGTCTACTAAATATCCCTTAGGTCTTGAATGTATTTGTAAGCCAGATCCACTGACTTCATGCAATCCACTCTTATTATAAGATGTACCAAACTTCTCATCTTGGCAGCCGTTAGTAAATTCCATTTCTGATAACTTTTTTGATTTCTTTGAGGCCTTCCTTTTCAAGACTGAACTTGCTGCATGAGGTATACTGTTGCTATCTTGCTGAGTAAGAACATTATTAGATCCCCCAAGCGAGCTTAGTGCATTTCCTGAACTAATAGGAACTTCAAACAAACAAGATCCAGCATGCTCACTGATGCTTTCAGACCCACAAGCTGGTAAAGGAGCTAAATCCAGGACATTTTTACCATTTTCCAAGAGTTTCCTGTATTTATTAGCATCGCCACTGACAGTATCACTTAAGCACATGGATCTTTCATTAGGATAATAATAAGATGCGCCATTCAGATATTTGCCTTCTCTCATCTGTGAGTCTGTTAAGTTGAGGGAACTTTCATCAACATACTCCTTGTGGATCCATTTATCTCCCTCAAGACTTGTCAATGCACTATCTGAGACTAAAGAAGAGCTGCAAGGCTGGTTCTGCAACAACCTCTCAGCAAACAGGTTTCCTGCAGTGCCCACAGTCTTTAACGTGTCATTTTTAATAGGAGTGGTGACCAAAGTCATTTTGGCTTTAACCGTTTTTCCTTCTTTGAGAAAGCGTAATGTTTTGTCAATGAACACCACAATTGCAAAGGGATCGAGGAGACACCAAAGACGAGCCAATGCAGAAGCTGTTTCCAAGGTATCCAGTTTTTCTTCAATCTCCATCACTGTACCAGATAGGTCACCCAAAAATTGATGCATATCAGACCACAACCTACAATCCATTTCTGGCAAAATACAATCTGCATAAGTAAACACACTCTGCCCACACAAGGTCCAGGCCCTCCAGAATTCACGGATTGGTCTTCCTTCAGGTGACTTGTAAACATACTCACCAATTCCATGAAATTTATTATTTCTTTTACGCCTTCCAACTACCCATCCTGCTGCTCTGAGCAAACGATGGATGTGGTACCGAAGAAGAGGGCGAGGGTCATTTGGAGAACCCTTAATCGTTGACAATTCAGCTTCATCCAGTTCTACAAAGCAATGGTCCCTCCACTTTGGCTTGGGTGGTCGACGAATCCCTGACGGCTTTGCGGCACTGCCAACCAACAACTTAGTTGCATAGCTCTCCTGAGAAGCAGGTGATGCAATTGCTTTACCAGCTACATCCTTCCATCCATTTCCTTCTATTTTAGACGATCTTAATTTTGATGAATCCATTTCACCAAGCATGTGACTTTGGTCCAGCACAGCGTGCCGCTTCTGCAAATACGAACTTGATTTAACACCTTGGTTCGAAGATTCAACTATATGACATAACACACTCTGAGAAGGGCAGAAAGAGGGTTGCTGTGATATATCTGCAGGTACTCTATCCAAAGAAGTTAATGGGTCAGATTCCTCTTCCACATGACTATTGGTTAGCTCTTTTTCACATGGGTCTTCTCTAGAATCCTCCTTTACGTCATGAGAATCATGAAGTAGTGTCAATGCAGAATTCTCACCACACAAATGTCCAGGTTCATCTGTCTGGTTAGTAACGTCACCCTCAAATTTGATAACTCCGGCCACAGGACACCTATTGGTACTGCTCTCATTTCCGAAGAACACGTCTGCAAATATCTGCGTCTCATTAACTGACCCATCAAATCCATCATCACGCAGACCTTCAATGTCTTTGTTGAACAGCATCTTTGCTGAGTTATAACTTCTTCACAATCCTAAAGTTCTTTGGCCTATCCTTCGTCAAATGCTAACCATCAATAAAGGAATGGAAGACCAGCACCGAGCCTCGCTACAAAATAAATATCATCGTCAGAATGATCTATAGTCTGGACCTACAATATCCACTTGTATGCTTCTGCACAGAAACACAAAATTCTCAGAAAGTCGTAGGAATGCAAGAACTCATATACATGACAAATGAGGCAACAAGCAGTTCTATTCCCACACTACAATAATGTACTTCTGAAAAATCAAATTCCAATAGCTTTTTCAGAAGGAAGTATAGAAACTTATTGGCCACAATGACTAGTGCATGACTGTTACCCGCAATATCAAAGATAAAATCATCATTTCTATCCCCAAGTCCAAAGACACGATACAAAATAGTCGGGGGGGGGGGGGTTTGTATAATTAGTATGGAGCAAAGTTACAGGGACCAAGGGATACGGTGTTGCTATCTGATTCTTCAGAATTATTATAGACCACAGTGGACGTGCAAGCCTCACCTGTTACGGAAACAAGGCTTGATCATTATCAAGCAAAGGATGTCATCTAAGATGTGTTCCACTTCTTGAAAAACTAGATAGTGTAACAAGCTTAGTCCTGTGAGAGGTGGCCAGCTGTGGTAATAATTAAACATTGGAGGAGCAGGATGCATTTGAAGCCAAATGAGGCAACATTAAAGGTTTAACAAACAGTCGGGTTAAGCAAAACTTATTATCTCCTAATAATAGATCTAGCATCAACTCATGGCATGGAATCAGTGCATCAAAATCAAAGCTTTCTCTGTTTGAGCAGTGGCTTCGAAATCAAAAGTAGACCCTTTTTCCTTTTTTTGGTGAAGTGTTAGGACTTTAGAGAATTTGATAATCAGGAAAAATACTTAGATACTAGTACATTTCCTAATTTGATGCATTTTCATCATAAGTGTACACAGCTGTCCAGAATTGGAACCTCGCCTTTATATACATCCGCAGAAACAGAAAAACACGTGGAACTATAACTCAAATCTAACAAAATGCGCATTGACAGTAAAAAAACTAACAACAAAAAGAGGCGGCAGGAGCAAACCGCTAAGAGTAAGCTAACAGAAACGAAAATGAACGAAAAGGAAACAAACAAGTAACAATTTCAACTGTAATTCAGTAAATTGTATGTAAAAAGGCACAAAATTCAGAAAGTTTCCGGATCCAAAAAGGCGCATCTACATAGATATCAAGTGCTCGATACGCAAAAATAACAAATCCGCCATCGGCCATCGCGTCACATGCAGGAGAAAAAGGGAAAAAAGGTGAAAATGACCTTGTCACAGCATTTCGGCGAAGCATATTAGGGTTTTTGGACGGTCCGTTGCGGTTAAGGACGAAGAAGATCTGAAGATAAGGTCGTTAAAGGTAACAATAGAACGCCGTTTAGCTTCATATTGTCATACCAGTCACGAGTAGAGGAGCGAAGGTGTGAAAGGATTTGGCTTTCGCTTCGGGAAGACCGAATCGCGCTCCAAAGTACAAAAGATAGACACCATTAACAGCTGCATCCACTTTCTTCTCTCTTTCTCTCTCTACTCCTTCCGCCATGTGCGTGAGTGACATTATATACTGTTTACCCACTTAGCATTTGTTTGTCTGTTTCTTCAATTTTACACTGCCCAATTATTTTTTAAAAAAAAATCTACCGCTTGCTTCCATTTTTTCTCCGTTTGAGTTTTGTGTTTTTACGAATATCGAATTCTTTTAACTGCATATTTGCATGGGCAATCTTTCTTCTTCTTAATGGATAAAAGATAGGCAGATAGATTGACTTTGTGCATTATGTCTGTTCTATTTTTATACTTAGCAAGAAGAAGAAAATTATTTTCTTTAAATCCAGTTTGAGTTCTGAATCTAAATGTGATAGTCAATATATAGATTTTCTAAGGCTTTTATTTGTATTAATATGTCTCTAATTATAAGATATTGTATCTTGATCTATACATTAAATAATACGTAATGGAAACAAGTAATAACTAAATAATTCAAATAATAAATATTATATTCACAAAGTATAGAATAAGTATTAATTTACATGATGTTGTATAGATTGTTTCTTCCATGAATCACGCTCTAAAAATTAATGGCGGCAGCATATTGTAAAATTAGTTATATCTCAAAAGTTAATGTTTATCTTAATTTAAAAAAAAAATTCTCTTTGAAATATTATTTACATCTACTTATAAGTTAGTAAATTATTTTATATTTAATAGAGCCAAACTAGCCATTACTAGCCGTTATCTAGACGTTTCCTATATAAACATGGTATTTGAGAGCTAAAGACACACTTTCTAATATAACTTTCTGAATCATCGTTTCCTCGTATATGCTGGGTTTCTTTCTTGAGTTTTCTGCTAGTTTTGTTCCCAATTTTATAACCGGACGAGCTTGTTGAATCATGGGGTATACGCCTAATTTTATTTATCACTGTGTGAGCGAAATATTCTTAAGGACAGTGTCCTTGACACGCCTCAAACTAACTTATATTCTCCCTAACCAATTTTTCCAACAATCTTAAGGATATTTCCATATTTTTTTTATTATGGAGAATCAAATTTGACGATGTCCAAGTTATTGTTCTAATTTTGAAAATGGGACCTACACTCAAGTTTGCACAATAGTCTTATGGAGAATACTACTTATGGAATTTTGATGAACTTTAAAGACATACGGTAATATTCTCCCGTTGATATATTTTTTGTAACATTATATCTAAGTGTCAGGTATGCATAATTGAACTAATATATATCTATTCAATATTTATTCTTTCATGATTATTCTCGTGAGAATATAATAGGCAGATAAACTTTGACATCAGGATGATACATATAATGTCCTTTCAATTTTAGATGTGTTTATAGTTGTACATTATATGCTTATGTGAATTTGTATTTGCAATTTTGTATGTGCATTTTGCAAAGTGAAAGATACTGCACTGATTTTGTAGTTCTCTTGGTCTAGAGTGTTTTAAATATTCTCTTTTAACATCTCGAAGAGGCAATGTGATATTAGTTATGTCGGTAGTTGTAGAATTTTCTAACATGTCAAGGGGACAATTTGTTTATGTTGCTTGAGATCACGAGAATAAATGGTATTTACATTTATATACTATTGTGATGACCCAAAATGTCATCTTTAAATTTAATAATTAATTCTGTATTCTAAGACCTCGAAAAAGCACTTTTTATCATTCCTTGACTTGAGTGCGCAGTCCATAAAATTTTCTGAAAAGTTTTTATGTGAAAATAGATTAAAATATTAATTAGAGCTTTAAAACTCAACTGAGTTGACTTTGGTCAATATTTTGAGCAAACGGACTCGGATCAGCATTTTGACAGTTCCGGTAGAACCATATCGTGAATTGGGACTTGGGCGTATGCCCGGAATCAAATTCTGAGGTCCCTAGCCCGAGATATGGAATTTTGAAGAAAAATTAAATGTTTAAATTCAAATAGCGATCGGATGTCGAATTATGTGCAAACGACCCCGGAATAGAATTTTGATGATTCCAACAGCTCCGTATGGTAATTTTGGACTTAGAAGCATGATCGAAATTTTATTTGGAAGTCTGTAGTGAAATTAGGCTTGAAATGGCTAAAATAGGAATTTAAAGTTTGGAAGTTTGACCGGGGAGTTGACTTTTTGATATCGGGGTCGGAATCGAGTTTTGAAAAATTTCACAGCTCTGTTATGTCATTTATGACTTGTGTACAAAATTTGAGGTCAATCAGACTTGATTTGATAGGTTCCGGCATCGAATGTAGAAGTTGAAAATTTTTAGTTTCATTAAGCTTGAATTGGAGTATGATTCGTGGTTTTAGCGTTGTTTGATGTGATTTAGAGGTTCGACTAAGTTCATATTATGTTTTAGGACTTGTTGGTATATTTGGTTGAGGTCCCGAGGGCCTTAGGTGAGTTTCGGATGGTTAACGGATCAAAAGTTGGATTTAAAACAACTGCTGCAATTTTTCCTTTATGCTGGAAATTCTGGCCCAAAATCGAGGCCCAAAATTGAGCTCCCAAAAATCGAGCTCCCAAGATCGAGCTCCCAAGATCGAGCTCCCAAGATCGAACTCCCGAGATCGAGCTCCCAAGATCGAGCCCGAGATCGAGCTCCCTGATCGGACTAGACAGATTTGTAAGTTATAAAAACATAGGCATTTGACCCATTTGCCATTTTTGACAAACTTGAGCTTGAACAGAGGCGACTTTTGACATATTTTCAAGGAAAGACATTTGGGGTAAGTGATTCCAACTCGGATTTGGTTTATATACACAAATATATCATTATTTTTACCATTTAATTAGTGTTTTGAGATTGAAATTTGAAAAAATTTAGAAAATCTCATAGAAACAAATTTTTGAGATTTCGGTATCGATTAGGAGTCGGATTTGAGTAAAATTGGTATGGTTGGACTCGTAATTGAATGGGTTGTCGGATTTTGTGAGTTTCGCCCGATTCTGAGGCGTGGGTCCCACGAGCGATTTTTGAGTTAATTTTGGATTTTATTGAAAAATATAGTATTTTCTTATGAAATTGATTCCTATAATTTTTGTTAACTGTATCAAATTAATTATGACGTCGATCGGAGTCGGAAAATTGAGGAAAAAGTATAATACTTGGTTAAATTAGAGCAAATTGAGGTAAGTGACTTGTCTAACCTTGTGTGGGGGAAATTTTCCCTAGAATTAATATGAATGTGATTATTGAAATGTGTTGAAAGTCATGTACGCGAGGTGACGAGTGTGTACACGGGCTAAATGTAAAAGATTATATTTTTAAATTGTGTAGATCATTGTTGCACATTTATTAAATTATTTTATCTTGTTATATTCTTCATCATTTATCTGAGATATATACTTTAAATTTGTTTGACCTTTTTCTGCTAATTGTTTTACCTGTTTAATTGAAACTTGATTTCTTTTACACTGTGCATTATTTGAAGGTTGATTTTCTTTAAATTAAATATTATTAATATGAATTATTTGATATTTTTAAATTTGATATTGCAGCAACGTATAAAAGGTTTTGAAATATTATTTTTCTGAATATTTTTTTAAGATTTTTGGCACTCATTGTGATGGAGCCGTGAGCTCTTTATTGTTAAAAAATATTATTGTTGGATTATTTTGGCATGAGCCGTGAGCTCTTTATTATTGAAAAATATTGTTGTTGATTTATTCTTGGAAAAATCAAAATATTGGGCACTTGAGGTACAAATTATGATATATTGTGATATTGATACGCATGCGGTGGTATAAGGTATGGGTATTGAAACGCATGCGGTGAGATAAGGGTGGCTTGATACGCGTGGCTAGTAGGGGTGACTACTAGAAGTCATGCGGTGTGATAAGGGTGGCTAAAACACGAGAGGCTATTTCGGGAAAAATATTTTTCTTTAAATAAATTGTGAAGGCTCCCGCGATGATATAAGGATATGAGATATTGTGAATTTATTTATGATTTGAGACTACGAGGCGGTACCTCGGTAGTGCCCTTGTTGATATTGATTTATGGCCATAGTTGCCTTCGATTAATTGTTGTGATTTTCATAAAGTTGAAAG